GTCTTTCATAAAATTATTTAGAAAGTACATTATTCGTCAACTATAATAAAATTTGTATATACTAAAACTTGTTAAGATTATTCATCTGTATGTCTAAATTCAAATTCGCGTATAGTGTGGCTGCGAGCCAAAAAGGAAGGACACATCACAGACACAGTACACACAGAAACGACTCCCACAGCGGACGAACCATACTATACGTGAGTTTGAATTTAGACATATAGATGAATAATCTTAACAAGTTTTAGTATATACAAATTTTATTATAGTTGACGAATAATGTACTTTCTAAATAATTTTATGAAAGACCCAAGATGGCAAACAATGTGATAGCTTAGCGTAAATAACGAACCTGATGATGGCACTATGTTGCCGAAACATGTAGTAAGAAGTGACATGTGAAATTGAGTGCGCTACAAGACGGCCATTACATATGTATCATGGATGAAAATCGGTGCAACAGGACGCTAAAATACAACATTATGGAGAAAACATTAATAAAGAACGGCGAGGAAGTGATATCAGAGACCCACTGCTTTTCTATTGGATAAGCGTCTGAGGAGTAATTTAGAGATCTGTTCATGCCACGATAAATGTTACTTGGAATCGAACTTCATATGGAATAGATTTTGTGTGGGTCTTCGTGTGACTGTGAATTACGAACATTTTCCTGTCCTTTTTCCTCGTCCATGTGTAACCGTTCCACTGCTGTGCTGCCTATTTAAATGTGATTAATGTTATTAATTTGAAATTTAATTGTTAGATGTAAGGACATGAACACGTGTAGTGAGACTTAGGTCAATTCTTGCATTTAAGAGCTAGCGTCTTCCCACGCTTACACCAAAAGCAGAGAAATACCCGTTGAAGATTTATTATGAGAAAGTTACGTAAAGAATGGCCATTGAAGTCTTTGTGAGTTCTTTAGCTGACAATTTTCTACGAGCTATATAGAGAAGCAGGGTTATTGGTTTACAGCCCAAGCCACGCTACACATTCGTAACTTTTTGACAGGAGTTCGTTAAGACAGAATTTCTTCACCCTTTTGTAAGAGTTAAAGTGATTGGAGGAATGTCTAATTAGAATACCTCTAAATTTTAAACTGACCAATCACGGAAATTTGAGTGTGTGACAGAACAAGGACGCTTGTGAAAGCCAGGAATTGAACGTCCGACGAAGCGTCAGTTTTAGCGTCGTTCGGAAACCGGAGGTCGAAAGGACCAGAAGTGAAGTCACATACGGGGCTATCTAGATCGAAGTAACTTTGTAGTAATAAGCTGTAATGATAAAGTGTAATAATCTGTTGTGAAGTGTGAAACCGCGGTTAGGAGTATAATGATAATATTAAACAGGACAAGCTAAATTTAGAAGGAAGCAAACAGTCCGACAGTAACAAGTGTTTGATAAATTGTAAAATGAAAGTGTCGCAACTGATCAAGAGTAATAATAATACCTCTGAAATTCAAGTGTGGTGGTGTTGCATAAAAGTGTCCTACCTGCCTTTCTAAGTGTGCACCGTTAAGACCTTGAGACAGAGAACTCAGCTCTACCTCTCTCAACAACCTCACCCTTGTTAATTCTATCAACCCTGAGAAACTTAATCATATCAACCCTGAGGAACTTAATCATATCAACCCTGAGAAGTTTAATCCTAACCCTGAGAAAAAAAAATAAGAAGAAATAAAAAGGTAGGTGGCGTCATCAACAAGAAGCAGAAGGAGAGGGTGAGGAGAGCAGTTGAAGAAGAGGCGCTTCCGAAGAAGACGTCACAACGGTTCACAGAGAGGGCGGTTACACGTGTTTATTTCCGCTCCATACACATCCTGAGTAGGCTATGGCGGAAACTACATAATGAGCAGCTTCATAATTTGTTTTCCTCCTAAACATTATTAGGATGAAGTAAGCGGAGCATATAGCATACACAAGGGTACGAAGAAATATATGAAAAGTTTCGAAGGGAAATAAGAATGAAATAGATTAACTGGAACATTTAGACTTAGGTAAAACATCAAAATCTCCAGTGTGTAGGCGGGTTAGAATGCCTCCACCGTATCCCTGCAAGTCGTAGAAAGCGACGAAAAGGAAACCGGTTCCTGGGGACATAACCGGGCCACTCTGTCGCTGGGGTATATAAATACAGAGACCTGGTCCTCCAGGGTGGGTGCTGGATGCACGGCTGAACACCTAGCTCTGTAATAAAATGTTGCGGAATCCAAACAAGAGAAAACCTATGGTCTAATTCAGCAGACAAATCTAGCAACATCTTCTAAGGAAGGCTGTGGCGCAGATATGGCTGTTTTGCCTGTGTTGATAATGCTAACATTAGAGTTACTCTTCAATAAGGAGATAGAGAAGTTGTTGACTTGATTAATATGGATCAAGACAAAGATATATGGCGGGCTCTAGTGAACACGGAAGTGACACTTCTAACTAACTCCATTGGTTTTAGTCCGCAAGCGAACTATACCGACCGAGATACCGCTGCTTGTCGGCGAAGATAGTGTCAAATTTATCGGATAGATGGTGTCGCGTGGTCAGCGCAACGGATGCACAGGGCTGTTAATTACAGTTTTCTAGACCGGAGCCGCTATTTCCTTGAAATAGCTCCTCAATTATCCTCACGAGGCTGAGTGGACTCCGTTCTAGACCCACTGCTTAGAAAATCTGGTAGCGTTGGGATTCGAACCCGGGACCTCTGGTACTGTAGTCAGGATCTCTGACCACTACACCATAGAGGCCTTCATGTTCCTATCAGATGAGTAGCCAACAGCTTCTAAAGAAAGATTCCGCTCCATGGATTTAATTAGTTAATTAATAATACTTGATTATTTTCCACTTATAAATATGCCATAAAGGAAATGAATGTACAGAACGGAAATTTAAATAAACTGCTGATGTCTTACTTTTGTGGTCGTGCAGTCTCTTTTCCAGAAGAGCGGTGAGATTGGTCAGCTTCCTGTGCACTTCCACTCTCTCTTCCTTTGCCCTCACGATGTCGGGGTGGTCGCGTTTCAGCTCGGCAACTATGTCTTCCAAGTCTTTCAAGTAACCTGGTAAATTCAATGGCGGCCGATCACAATGGCCGCGCGGTCTATTCTTAAGGCTCGTACAGGAGAATATGTTTCCGGGATGTGACGCTGTGTAATCTGGTAGAATGTTGCCTCCTGATTATACACTGAAGATGAATGCGGTATGTTCCTACGAAACTTTGGTACATATCTACCGGGACTACACGGCATCACAACTTAGAAGACAGCAAGCTTAACCTCGAGATATATAGGTTTCTGGAATTTGTTCCTCGCCTAATATTCTAAAAGACGCGACGTTTCCGGAACTAGACCTATTTTAATTAAAAAAGTGGGCAGGCACGTGCTCAACTGCGTTCAATAGACTCATCTAGGCTTAATCTACACCGCAAGAAGTAACCAATAATCTTACCGGACACCGCTGTGAGAACTTTAGTCTGGCGTAAGTCTCCTACCGTCTTCGAGTGCGCGAGGAGTGACATTGCGGAGTGGAATCCCACACGAGTCACGAAGAGTTGCCGCTATCTTTTCTGTGTTCCCTGTATAGACTGACGCCCTACCCTGGCCTGATCTTCCGTTCAAGAAATCCTACCAAATGGCTAAATGAATGTTAGTTTCTGAAGTTCTTTTATTATAATTTTTCATTATTGCTGGTAGGGTGGGACTAAGTCCCTTGTACTGCGGCCACTTCTGCCCTATTGTACCAGCCCCCGATGATACGTGATGGTGATTGTGGAGCAATTGGCGGAATGAAGATTGGCAGGGGAAACCGAAGTACTCGGAGAAAACCTGCCCCAGCGCCACTTTGTCTACCACAAATCCCACTTGATCAAACCCGGGGATCGAACCTTGGTCGCCGCTGTGGGAAGCCAGTTACTAACCGCTTGAGCTATGGCGCGGCCCTTAGTTTCTGAAGTTACTCACAAATCGGATCAAGACTCAGGGCCTAATTAGTAAAGAGCGAAGTCGGATTTATTCTTTAACTTTCATGCGTCAGGCACTTGTAGAGACTCGTATACTGATGCCTCGCATGAGTCAATCTATCTATCTATCTATCTATCTATCTATCTATCTATCTATCTATCTATCTATCTATCTATCTATCTATCTATCTATCTATCTATCTATCTATCTATCTATCTATCTATCTATCTATCTATCTATCTATCTATCTATCTATCTATCTATCTATCTATATTCCTGTTGCTCCCAGTTGGAGCATAAGATATCCGTGAAACACTTCGTTTGCCTTCTGTTCTTAATCTTAGAGAGTCGATAGGACTCCTTGAAGGGGGATCAGCATGACGCAAGGCCGCTACTTGCACACAAACACAGAATAAACGCAGACAAACATCCATGCCTTGAGTGAAATTCGAACCCACGATCCTAGCGTTTGAGAGGGCGAAGACAGTTCATGCTGCAGACCGCGCTGCCACTGCGATCGGCCCTACATTAATGGGAATCAATTAATCTGCTCTGGGTTTCTGACGTCTTCGCATATTTCATCCTGAGCCGAACAAGACAGAAAAGAAGAAAGGCGAAGAGAGGGCAGATGGAGGGAAAGAACATCATCACATAAAGTTACAAATTTGAGGTTGAATTTTTATTACGAAATTGCCCGAGCAGGAGTTCTTGCCATATCTAGTTCCGAGATCCAGAATACATGGATTTTACCTCCACACCCTCGCTACATATTCATTGTATGATGTTCAGATAAATATAGAGACAACCTTTTTTCTTCAATGTTGTCTGTCTGTCGTTTCAATAAGTTCGTCACTTATACCTACGAATGTGACCTTCTAAAACGTGCACAGTAATTAAAAGTAAATTTGACTTTGTACTGTACTTACTGTTTTGGGAAACCGCGACCACCAAAGCCACGTACTGAAAGGTATAAACATTGCTTTTAACACTGCCAGTGTGTCCTTATTTCAAGTTTATTTGGCGACACTGTAAGTAAATCTAATTATACAGCTCAAAAGACTGGATAATAGTAAATAATGAAATTTAAATGACGTGGAAGGAAATGAGTGTGGCCTAACTTCAGGTACAATCCCGGAATTTGCCTGGGGAAATTCAGGAAAACAACGAAGGATCTCGGGAGAGTCGGTGTGTCGGCCGAAACTGGAAAAGGAAGCCCCCCGAAAGTCAGTTAGAGGCGTCACGCTTAGTGTGTTCACTAAGGTAAGTACAATTTTAGCCTCTTTCCTTTAAAGAAATGAAAATAGGCTTATGCGATCTTAGTGCTCTCTGTGTGTCTGTGTGTACCCCGCCCCCATTAACTTCCTGATGCCTGAAACAGTATTTATAAAACATTCTCACGGCAACGAATACAGGAAACAGTAGTAGAACGGTCGTTTCTGTACTACGGCCGGTAAACACCCCCTTAGAAATAGAGGGGAAACTGTGTATTATTTGTGGTCCGCGCCAAGCAAACGCAAGGATACGTCTATTGTCAGGCAACGAAACTGTAAACATGCATCCTTAACAAAAGAAGGTGGCGTTTTCCGTGGGTTCCGTGCAGAGAATTTATATTCAAGACAATCGGCGCTACGAGTAGGTCAGTTCTCGATAAGGATATAGCCACGGGAAGTTCATAGTAGAAGAAGAATTAGAAGTCGGCCTGTGATGACTTTACGTGTGATTTGGAGACTTCGTGCGTGCTGTAATGCAGTGATATCTGGAGTGTGAGAGTTGGTGTTCCTGTGTTAATATCCGTTGCTAGGAAACGGACAGGGAAATTTTGAAGAGAAATAGTCATTGTTTAAATCTCTTACCTAGCAACGACTAGTATAAGCAGATATAGAAAACTTTATTTATATGTTATGATTACAGAAATCTTCGAAGTGTCATAATTAATTATAGTTACGGCCTGTAGATGGTCAATAAATCCAGTTACCAGTACAAATACCGTCTTTAGTCACTGATGTACGTGACAGTATGTATATCGTTGCACGTGAACTCATCTCAGCTAGATACATCACAAATCTCTCTCCTCAGTCTGTATGGCCATATGTGCATCCCTCTTACCATTGTTAAGCAAAAGCTCGGTAAAGTGTATCCCTCCATTCGCTGCTAGGCAACGGCTTGCTAAACAATTTCTCACGGAAATCCATACAAGCGACAATAGAAGAGTAGTTGGAAATGTGTATCTGTGGGTCTGTGTATCCCCTACCGTTGCAAGGTAACAACTAAGTAAAGGCGTTCTCGCGGTAACGAAGGTTGTTGGATACACCATTTTCCATACGGCCCATGTCGTATCAAAGGTAAGTGGGCGATTGGTCTTCCAAGAATTTCTTCTTATTAAGAAATGTAATGATTAGTTATCCTTTTCGTAGTAAAATGAAGATGGCATGTGGAGCTCGTGTCTGACCGTCTGTAAATGACCTAGTTTCGGGGCCTAAACTCTTGAACTGATTTTCTTAGAATTTAATATGGGAGACTTCCTTTCCAAATTTGCCAGGAGAATTCGATTTTCGGCCATATTGACACATAATGAAGCCCAATTTACAGATCACAGGTGGTGTTGAAATTAAAAAAGAGGAATTTTCATTAATTATTTTTTAATTTATATTAGAATGAGATATGTTAGCCGTTAAACTTTCTTTTAATTGTTAAGAAATTAGCAACCATCATGTACAACAACCATCAAGTTTAACAACCGTTACTCAAATCTTGAGTTAATTTATTTGCCTTACATCTTTAGGTCCCATGGGTCCATTTTCAGAGGTTCATGTGATGGAAAATAGCCATAATATATACAACGACCTCGTGACTAACTTAGAAGAAATTTATATTTTATAAATTTGAGACTACTTATGAGCCGGGATAGCGCAGTCTGTATAGCAACTGGCTAAGGGCAGCACGAACAAGGGGTCGGAGATCGAGTCCCGGTAGGGGAAAAATTTTCTATTCTCCGCATCGTCCAGACCGACTTTGAGGTTCACTCACCATCCTACCTAATGGTTACCGGGGAGTTATTTCCACGGGGTAAAGCGGTCGGGGCGTTAAGCTGACAACTCACCTCCAGCCAGTGCCATTCACACCCCCATACGCCTTAATGGCGTAGTGCTTAATTAGTTAAGCAGAAGGACAGCTTTACTTACATATAATTTTATTGCATAAGTAATCAATTTCTTTTTGTCATACGAGGCTCAGAAGATGGTCATATGGAACATAAATATGTAAGGTTATTAACATTGAGATAAGTTTTCTACTATTTTTTCTCAATGTTCCCATTTTTAGGTGAGCTACATAAATTTTAAAGAATGAAGATGGAGATTTTAAGCACTATAATAGAGTACACACTCTCTGTAATCTCTTGCTACTGTAGGCATAGTAACACCCCGATTAGCAGCCGGTAAAGACAGCTGTGTAACTTACCAACAGAAATATGAGGTGGGTGCCGCGAATCATTGTCTCGCAGGTGGTGCTGTTGCGGCTGTAAGTATGTATCATGGAAGATTAGGGTACAACAGAAAGAAAGAAACACCCAATCAACAAAAAGTCATGGAGAATATAGAATTATTTATCGGTGCTTATTGAATAACCAATCCGAAATCATGAAGCAATGAAATTATGTCACTATTTACGAATAAAAGTAAAATGACCATAGACATATGCAGTACAACCTTTAAGCTGTACAATAGTACAGAAGATGCAAGAGCCTATGAACACAAAATGTGCACTGTGCTACAAGCCGGAATTTCGTGATTTCGATTCCCGAAGAAGTAAGGGAATTTTTTTTTCAATTGGCCTAATTCTTCCAGGCCGATCATAGGGCCCGCGCGGTTTGAGGCATGAAATGTCTTCGCTCACTCGAACCCTGGGATCGTGGGTTCGAATTCCACTGATGGCATGATTGTTTGTGTTGATCCTGTGCTTGTGTTAGGTAGCGATCTAACTACGTTTCACAGCAACAGACGAAAGACTAGTCTTACTTAGGTGTTAAGCAAAGCATCTCCTAGGATACGCGTAATCAAGAATGGATATTGAAACGCTACAAGAGCGAGCCTGCAGAGCAAACTGAATCATTAGTAGCTGAGAAGCCGTGAGTCGTACTGAGTAGCAGACCAGAGACTAGAAACCAGTCTGAGAACCAGAAGAATTTTCTTTTTTTATTTCTTGCAATTTACAATCTACTCTACAAGGGAGCAGTAAGTAAATATGTTGTAAGAAATCACTTGTGCGGAGTGATCATCCAGTGATGATTCTCCTATGTAGTATACTACGCAGTATGTTGTTGAGTATGGCTACCCTTCTTCAGCACTGTGTTCTTTTAAGTCTGAGGGCCATTGTCGTTTTAGTCTTCGTCTGATGTTTAATGGGTTGCTTAGTTCAGTTACGCAACTGTTTTCGTGTCCCATTAGTCGGTTGTGGTATGTGGTAGAGTATCTTTTGATTTCTTCTGTGACGAATGGGATTTGAAGATCATTGTGTAATGTGAAGTTCGAGACATACCATGGGGCGTTAGTTATGGAGCGCAGTACATTTGATTGGAGTCTTTGAATTATTTTGGTGCTCGAAAGCTTAGCACACCCCCACAGTTTAACTCCGTACGTCCAAATCGATTTCAATACGCATTTGTAAAGTAAAGTCTTGTTTTCTAGGCTGAGTTTGGATCCAGAAGAAATACACTAAGAGATTCGCTATCAAGAAGGAGTTCATTGTGTGAGCTGTTATAATCCACTGTAATTGTAACAGAGAGGTCCAATAAATCCAGCCATCAAGCCTAGGACCCACAATTATTCGTCACGCAACTCTTCACACGTAACAATATTTTTTTTTATTTTTATTTGAGATAGATTCATACAATCTGTCCAATTAAGGACAATGAGCACTTTTGGTGACTGAGGTAACTATGTCATTAACAGTGTTAATAAGGCACTGTTAATGACATAGTTACCTCAGTCACCAAATATAACAATATAAAGGAATTATTTGTGTTGTTGAAAATAGTTTGTTATTATAATTTCACAGAGAGACTTAACAATAGTTACAGAAACTAAGAGTAGAAATTAATGCCATTAAAACAAGTTCTAACTTATTTTCCGTAAATATCATAGGTTCCTCTGTACACTAAATGTGCGTACGTGTATGTGTGTATGTGTGTATGTGCGTACGTGTATGTGTGTACGTGTGAATCCAGCCATCAAGCCTAGGACCCACAATTATTCGTCACGCAACCCTTCACACGTAACAATATTTTTTTTTATTTTTATTTGAGATAGATTCATACAATCTGTCCAATTAAGGACAATGAGCACTTTTGGTGACTGAGGTAACTATGTCATTAACAGTGTTAATAAGGCACTGTTTCTTTCGTTAACGTGCTCTTTTATATGGGCGGTAAACTTGGTTTCTCACACTAAGAGAAAAAACTATGCCGTGCCATAGCTCAAGCGGTTAGTCGCCGGCTTTCCACCGCGGCGGCCCGGGTTCGAGCCCAGGTTAGGTCATATGGGATTTGTGGTGGACAAATTGTACTGGGGCATGTTTCTCCAAGTACCTCGGTCTCCCCTGCCAATTCTATTTCCCCACCGACTGCTCTACACTCATCAACATCTGTAATCCGGGGCTGGTACAATAGGCCAATTAGTGACCGACGTAAAAAGCGGATTCAGTCTCACCCCACCCCAAGAAACTAAAAATAAAAAATAATAATAAAACGGATTTATGACGTAGCGCGATGTTCTGAGGGGAAGACATGGCTGGATTGAAGCTAGAGAATGTAGCATTAAAATGGATAAATAATACATCACACCATGCGATATTAAAATGGCTACATTGAGGAGGATAAGCTGAACTGATTATGTAGCAGGCATGAGAAACGTACGAAATTCATACAACATTTTAGTTGGAAAACCTGAAGTGAAGAGATTGCTTTGGAGACCTATGCATGGATTAAAGGATAATATTAAAATTGACCTTATGGAAATAGCGTGCGGGTGGGGGGTGCATTCATAAGACTCAAGATATGAACCGGTGGTGGGAGGGCTATTTTGAAATTTCATGAAGGGTGGGGAGCTTTCTGACAAGCTTAGAAACTACTAGATTCTCAGGAAGAGTTCTGCTATACTGAGTTGACTTACTTGTGGTCGGCTGTGTGTCTCTGTTCTCACCGCTGTGCGCCGACGAAAGTTAAGGTAGCTTAACCTGCCCTATTTATTTAATGTAACAGGATGTCTATGCGCTTACTGGGTTTCCCTGCAACGTACCTAGTTACACCATGACTCACCTACCGTGGACTGAAGCAAACACGATAAGCAGGACTTCAGGTGGACAGAACATTTGTTCAGGAAAGGACGAACATAATTTGCCTGTGTCTACAGCCCTTGTGGACCTTGGCCACTTATTCAGTTTTTTAAACCATACACAGACGGTAGGACTCCTTGGACTGGTGATCAGCTCATCGCAACGCCTCTACCTGTACATAAACACAGAAAAACGCACACCAACAAACTAAACATCCATGCCATGAGTGGGATTCGAACCCACGATCCGGCTTCCGAGCGAGCGAAGACAGTGCATGCCTTAGACCGCTCGGCTACAATGACCGGCAGCGTATAAGAATAATATATAAGAATTCAGTTCGTACCTCACAGGAAACAGATTCGAACCCACGATCCCGGCTTCCGAGCGAGCGAAGACAGTGCATGCCTTAGACCGCTCGGCTACCGTGACCGGCAGTGTATAAGAATAATATATAAGAATTCAGTTCTTACCTCACAGGAAACAGATCCGAACCCGCGATCCCGGTGTCCGAGCGAGCGAAGACAGTACATGCCTTAGATCGCTCGGCTACCGTGACCGGCCCCGGTTACAGTTAATCCGGATGAAAAAATGCTCTGCACACCTGAGTACATTCTTCATAAGACAAATGGCATATAGAAAGGTGGATGAGCCACTTGTCTGTTCAGACAAAACGTGACAGCTTCTTCAAATCTGCATTATTACGTTCAAAAACAAGTAAAATTTCTGAGTCTTCTAATGATGAACAAATGTATTGACACACAGAATTATTGGACTTTTGGACTTTTTCCATCGTCTTGAATTCTAGGTAATAGAGGACAGGACGTCTTAAGGGGCCCAACTGAGTAGGTGTCTTCCTTTCTCACCTGAAGACGGAAACAGATCTAGTTTCCGAAACGTCGTATCCTATATTACCTAGAATTACGGACGATGAAAAAATTCCAGTAACCCAGTAGATCTGTGTGTCATCCACCATCGTCAGAACCCTTTAGAATCTACCAAATATATTGTCTTTTTACGGTTTTTAAATACAGGTTCTACATTGATATTTTTATTCATTTCCATAAGAATTAGTTATATAATTAATTTTTAATTTATTTATATTCTAAATTTCTTAACTTTTAGGGGTATCTTTTGCTTCAATAATCCCGATTACTTCCCCCAATTAATCCTGATTAGCGAGGGTTTGCTGTACTTCCAAAACCAGTTAGTTGTCATTTTTAGGAAAGCAAATTTATTACAGTAATTCTTTCGGAAAGACAGACATAACATTATTGCTAAGAACACTATTCTGTTAACAATACCTGATCAAGATTTGTATATTTATGAAGAAAGCAGTCTTCTGGAATTTGGCACCGCTTGTACCGGTTCTCACGGTCTCTTAGCTTGCGAATTTCTTATTGTTCTTTCTACCCTGAAGATGGAGGCGATACGTTCCTCCGAAACGTCGGTTAACACCACATATACACGGTGCCAAATCCCAGAAGACTGCTTTCTTCATAGTCACCGCCGTGAAAGCCTCAAATCTTACATTAAATTTGTACATTGTATTGTGATGACATTGTACGTATACATTAATATTCACAAAACATAGTGTAACAGTGGTTTCTAATTGTATTGATACCCTTCTGAAGATGGTCTCTCAGACCTAAACATGCCAAGGATGAAGATTAAAAAGAAAAATCCATCAGTCACACTGGACGGAATTAATTAACCTTTTGTCATGATGTATACTTACAAATTAAATTTGTAGAAGGACCCGTTATACGCATCTTCACCGAGGGCACTAACAATATGTACATGTCTTATTTTCATCCTTTCAGCATCGTTCCGTTTTATATAGGTCGGTGGATGAAATGTTTCCAGTTTCTATTTCCTTTTTCACAAACTTCTCCTTTCGATTTCCTTTCAGCTGATTCTTCTCTTCGCAATGTCTCCAACATCTCTCTAAATCGTCTACTTCTGGGTCTTCCCACATACCTCTTGCATTACGTTTAATTCCTCTTCCCCTCTTCCACATCCCCGATTGACAAAGGCCACAAACTTACAAAACTTATATAAATATTTTTGAATTCCCCATTTTTTCTTCCATAATTCTATCGCTCTTTATTTTCCCCTCAATATCACATCTGTTGGGGAGCACGCGGTAGCGTAGTTTGTTGAGGCTCTATGATAGAAGTTGGAAGGTCGCGAGTTCAATTCCCGATGAGGTCATTACAATTTTCAATTGCTCTAATCCTTCCAGCCGCACTATGGCCCTAGGGTCGACTCAGCCTCTAACAGAAATGAGTACCAGGAATCTTTCTGGGAGGTAAAGGGCGGCCAGGGCGTAAGGCTGACAACCTCACCGCCATTTGTGAGCTTATTGACTAGAAAATGTGGGAGTCTCGACGTCTCACAACCCTATGGGCCTCCACGGCCTGTTACAGGAACACTTTTACTTCTTTTCTACACATAACAACTGGTGTCAGTCAGTCGGTTGAGTTGGAGCAAAGGTTCATTTGTGCGACAGTCTGTAATGCCGTAGAATTTCGGCAAGGGTTTTGTAACTTTTATGTATTAAGTTATCTTGGGTTCACGGTGAGACGAAGGGTTAATGTTTGAAGCAGAATGCGGGAAGTAACATCGTAAGTGGAAAATTTTCACATTGCTTAGTACTGCTGATTCACGCGGAACAGACTGCGGACTGCCAAAGCGTACAGAGCGCCAACTCGGCGAGACGGCCTGAGCAGATCCAACCCTCTCTATCTAGATGACCAACCAGGACGGATCTTTGGGGAAGAATTCGCTCTAATTAAGGGGCGGAGCTTACCCCAAAGACAGGAGTCAGCAGGGAAAAGTTATAAAGTTGCTAACGCAACTGGAGGAGCGATCAATCTATATCAATCTACCAATCAATCTATCGACGATTCGATCGATCTGAGTGCACAAATGTTACGTGAGTAGCCAGCCGGAGGCCAGGAGGGCCAGAGCCATGGTCGTGCCAGACAGAGGGGACACCATCAGCTTCCTACACCAAGTAAGTCGAACTGTTCATATCAGTCATGGATAAGAAGTGAGATATTGAAGTGCTATTTTACAAAGTTAGGGCAGAGAGAGAGAGAGAGAGAGAGTAGGCCCTCTACAGGAACGTAGGAACTACCACGAGAGTTAGGATGGTGAACCCAAGTGCATATTTATCTAAATTACAATGTGTACGTAACCGGCCACTGTCGGCCATGAAAGTGATATGTATATAACTGTATATATTAGTAGACGAATGTAGACCAAGTAAGGGGGATGCGTGTGTTAATGACTTACCCCACAGTCACACCTTCTATTTCCCACGATCTCCCTTACATCCCATGTTATCGATACTGTGAACTCACAGCTAAGTGGTAGCTAACGAGACAATTACAAAGCGCTTAGCCGTGCAACTTGCCATTCCCCAAGGGCGCAACGGCAGGGATGGCGGAAGAGGTGGAGAGAATCCTCCACTCCCCCTTCACTCCATAACGCAGTCGCCAGCCAGTAATAACATGGGCACGGAAGAAAATGACAATGATGGGATACGTCACCAGGCAACGACGTTGAAGGCATAGTAAACTGAGGGGACTTTACATGTGCTGTGGTTGCAGTAACATTTGGAGTGTGTAACTCTGTGAGACTGCCGTAATTATTTGTAGTTACTTTCTGCAACAATTCAGTAAATCTAATTACCAATTCAAACCCCGTCTATAGTCATTCAATCACGCAGTTGAATGACTACAGCCGGGTTTTTGAATTGGTAAACGGATTTATTGAAATCTTACAACTCGTAAATGCAAGCGAGGCTTATGCTCTCACTGTTCCACACGCTTCATAAAACATTACGGGACATACTAGGTCTTCACAATCTGTTACAGTTTTCGTTAGACATTTCTTGGTAGCGGCCTCCAACGGCGAACGTTCCCCTTCTTCTGGGTTCCCGAATTTTCCCCGGCCTCAGCTATCTGTTTCTAACAGGAACAGCTCACAATAACTAAACCACAGCGGTTATCTAACTAACTGCAACACATAACTTCACCTGCTTAGAATGTCTCGGCACGGACCGCACAGAAAACACCGTTTCTCTGTTGCTGTTTACTGGTCGCTATCTAGTAACGGCCGTTGTATAGTTGCTTTACTACATGCCACGCTATCATTTACAGACGTTCCCACCTCATGACTCAAGGTACGCGGGTTCAAACCCGGCGGAGGTCGTGGAAATTTTAAAGGCGGAAAAATTCAGGGAACAAGTCCTCCGGGAGGGACCTTAAGCTGTGGGTCCCGTGTCGTAGATTTACTGCACGTAAAAGATCCTCATATCTCTAGGAGACCTCTGAGCAAAATTAAGTAAAAATTTTCCCGCCCAAGTACTTTCCAATGCCTCCGGTAGATGGGGAAGTATCGGGTACCACTGCCAGTAGAAGGGCCGAACTCGCTGGCTGAAAGGGGCTGATAGCGAGCACCAGTACAGGAAGGGTATGGCGACTGGTAGAATATCAAAGGGGGACGTACAATAGATCAAAAACTGGTCGCGGTGCATGGGGAAATCCACCCCCTCCAATAATGAATGAATGAATGAATCATTTACAGATATTAAGAATGATACTCAGTCCTTTATTAAATGCCGCGTTATGGCTACTTTGACTCCTCTGTAGCCGTGCGCTTCTTAATGTGAGCACTGTGTTCTCTCCTCTCGTCCCATTTCTTGTGTAATATTTCCATAATGAAAGCAATTACGCTCAGTATATTTCCAAGACACAGCAAAACAAAGGCTGACTGTAAATGGGAAACAGTCATACTGACATATCCTTCATTCAGATCTTCCATTGTTCGAGAGACGGAACACTGGCCTTTGGTATCAAGGATGCTGTTCAGGAACTTGTCAGGTAAGCCTGCCTCTACTAGTCTAAAGATAACCTCATTTATCCGATCTAAAAGGCAGTTCCCTCTCTTAAGCAACATAAAAATGTGATCGCTAAAAACATCCTCATTGAAAGGTGAGAGGTTAAGCTGCTTATCTGGGTCATGAAATTCATTTCCCGCTGACATGAAGTAGACTCTACTTAACATTGTTGCCACGTTGCTTTTGTTAGCAACGTTTTGTAAGCATTCATATGGAGTGTCAACAATTCTTCTTCTGTTCGGATTCTTTAACAAATTTTCATCAAAAAACGGGGACAAAAACACAGATAATATTATGTCTAGTTCGGAGTCTACAAGTTCATCAATATTATTTATTCCGTGTTCTAGTCCAGGGTCAATAAGATAACTGATAAAGAACGTCTGGAAAATGTTACTTACTGATAAGGAATATATGACCCATGATATAAAAAATAATCTTAGGGAGGCGTTATGTGGAATTTCAGGCACGGATACTCCCAAAACTACAGCCCAAGAATCAGAGAAACAATTGAAGATATTTCTGTACTTGTGAGAAGCCTCAAATTTGGAATGTGTGGCAGCTAGGCTCCAGAATACGGTCGCTGAGACGAAGATGCTGAAGAAACACATGAACCATGTGTCCCTGGCGAATACACGCCCAACGCTCATCCAGCGGGCTTTTGGTTTTGCACCAGGGACGTACCAAGTCACGTGGTCAGTAAAGTACCTCTCTGTGCCCTGGAACTGCAAGTAATCTTCCAAGTTAATGGACCACGCGTCAAGAGCTATATCTGCTCTGCCGTACATTAACCCTCCCCTCAGTCCAAACCACGTCCCGTTAATCATTTTACCCCAAGGGTACGTGTCGTACAGAGGTACCAGTTCCAGAGACATGTTCAAAACTTCGGCAATAGTACGAATCATGTCTATATCCAATCCTATAGAAGGAGACACGTCTTCAAAAGAATTGTTATCCTTCTGAAATATGACGTAAGGTGGGAAATGTGCTACTTGTACCCTTAGAGGACAACCACTCATTTTATTTGGAATTTTTTCCTGGAATAAATTCGTATTTCTTTTTAAAAATCCAGAAGTATCATTTGATACCCATGTATCTAGAAGTACTTTTTCCATCATTTGACCGCACACACCTGATGGTGGTTGATAAGGAAACCAGGAATATATATTAAGGTTCTCAATTATATCACTATTCTGTTTCACCAAGATCACAATATTAATTATCTTCCATATCCAGAGTTCTTTCATTAATTCCTCCACCGTAACTTTAGTGTCACAGTTGTTTCCTTCTTCTACCAAGATCACAACAAAGCGGCGTCTTGGGTCCCACGCAGGATAAGACTCCAGTCGCTGGATCTGCTCTCTTACGTCAAGCAGCGCTTCGCTCTTCTCCCTGCACGGGTAGGCCGTGGTCAACACGTAGCTGCCGTGATTGTCATCATACTTTGTGTCATCATGTTTCATCAATTCGCCTGTTGGACAAGACACGATAATCGGCCATCGTGCCATCCAATGCATGCTTTCCAACAGGACTTCCACCCAACTTCCAGCGAACTCCCCACTGGCAGATATGTTTCGTAACGAGGCTGAGAAGGAGCGAGCCCTGCTTGAAATTGAGTAAACCAGAGTGTGGTTGGAAGCAAAGTATCGGTCGCTGATTGTTGTGACACAATCTGCCACTTGTTGTTCTCTGTGATAGACCTGTTCCGAGTTATTAGGGCCCAGAATATGTATAGATATAGTAGCGATGGACCAGTATCTCTGAAACGTAAAAACAATTTCAACTATTTATACTTACGAATTAAAGTATACGTGTATATAAATTAGGTTTATATTACATTAAAAATTGAGGAAATCTAATACAGAATAGACTAATATGGAACTATATTTAGTGCATTAGTCACTTGTAACTATGGATATTCTCAATTTAAAACATAATTTATCTAACCTCGCCAAAAAGTCACAGAAATGACGTAAATCGAACATAATTAATCTTTAACCCTCGGAATTTGTCTTCGCAAACACACAGTGGCCTACTCGCTCTTATGCTCGCATCGCTGTCAGTAAAGAGTTCGCATTAAAGCGAATGCTATTTATTTTAATCGGTCTGAATTAGTTGATTACATTGAAATCAAATCGCGTTCTTCGAGTTCTCATACAACAAGAAGTGCCTCTAAACGGAAGGATAGGCCTTACACCTACGGTCAGTTATCATGGAAATTGGCTTTGATTGTCTTGTAGTTACCCAAACGAACTTCTAAGTTGCTTTCAATTAGTCTACGATATCTATCTATCTATGACTCTACGGCCCCCTTTGTTGGACCTTGGCCCCTTTTTCAGTTTCTTAAGTTTTTACTCAGTCGGTAGACTCCTTGGACGGGGACTCAGCCCGTCGCAAGGCCGCTACNTACATTGAAATCAAATCGCGTTCTTCGAGTTCTCATACAACAAGAAATGCCTGTAATCGGAAGGATAAGCCTTACACCTACGGTCAGTTATCATGGAAATGGGCTCTGATTGTCTTGTAGTTACCCAAACGAACCTCTAACTTGCTTTCAATTAGTCTACGATATCTATCTATCTATGGCTCTAAGGCCCCATTTGTTGGACCTTGGCCCCTTTTTCAGTTTCTTAATTTTTTACTCAGTTTGTAGGACTCCTTGGACGGGGACTCAGCCCGTCGCAAGGCCTCTACCTGCACATAGGACAGCACAACCACAGAATAAACACACAGACATCCTTGCCTCCAGTGGATTCGAACCTACAAACCCAGTGTTTGAGCGGGCGCAGACATTTTGTGCCTTAGACTGTGATTCTACCCTCCTTTATTCTCTAAATGAAAAGGAATAAATTCGGCGTCATCCACAGCCGGAAGATTGTGGAAACTTAAATGTGGAATGCATGGCTGCCAACCCGTGTCCAAGAATGGCTCTGGCGCAGACTTTGCTTCTGAACTCGCATCATCTGATATTTACCACGGCGAGAAACGTCATCACTCAACAGTTTTTTTTTGCAACGTGTAAAATAATTTCGTGAATTCTGAAGTTAAGAATAACAGTTATTAAGTGCAATCCCTAAACTTACCAGTATCCAGATATTTGATCTCATATTCACACAGGCTTATAATTACTTTAAAATTACGACCATTTTATACATGAGAAATTAATTTACTTCTCCTTTTGCTGTAAAATTATAAGATTCGTCTAATTTTCGGATGTATGACGACATCACACCCTGCCTCATGTGAATATTAAACTACAGGCCTGGAATTCGTTGGACCAATATAAACACCGACTTTGTTACTGAATATGATTCAAAACATAAAGTGCTGACATAAAGAAGACATTTACACTTTTTCTACGTGTCTCATTTGCATCCGTTTCGTGAGTTTATTATGAGAACAGCTTAGCTCTAATACTTGGAATAATAGAATTACTTTATCGCGTGACGGTTTCCCGGCCAACTGTGCCACTACACTCGACAAGTTTCCTGTATGTCCTACAAAGTGTAGTGAAGGTCATTCTCAAAAGCAGAAACATATCAGGCAGAATATCATTCATCACACGGATATATGAGACATGTAATCAAGTCAGGTAGCCACCATACGAGTATTTTCTTCAGACTCTGTAGACTTCAACAAAGACGTTTGAAAAACACTGTGACATGATAGCCGAAATAATATGCCGTACTAGGCAACGGATCGATAAAGAGCGAGTCATCATCCAGCAACAGATACACACGCAACAATAAACTGATTGTCGAAAGTGGTGTTTTCTATGCCGTCCGTGTCGAGGCCATCGGGAGAAGTTAGCCACTCAAGGCTAGGAGTTTCGAGACAATCGCCAGCCGGTAAGGACATGGGTACGGAAAGAGAAGAATCTATATTGTTGGATCCGTTGCCAGACAACGACTAGGAAAGACATAGAAATCTTTCTGTGTGTTGTAGTTACAGTGATTTTTAGAGTGTGTAGATCCGCGAAACTGTTATACTTGCTTGCATTGAAGGGTTATAGGAGTCCCATAAATGCAACTACCACCCCAAAGCCCATGCTAGACACAAACACGTGGTAATATGCTCAATGTTTCTGATACCAGTAGCGGTTGGTGTACTGGTAATATTCTAGACTTGTATTAGGGATGAGCTCCTTTAGAATTTCGGCAGGGAAAACAATTATCCTAACTGATATTTATTGTAGTTTTCCTCAGTCCCTCGAGGCAAATTTCCGGATAGAACCGCGATCATGTCATGACCATTTACTTCAGAATCATTTCCAATTGTTATTCAGTAACCATCCTACCATGTGACGCTACAGCACCTCAGGGCTGACAGACATCTCTCGCTTTACGAAGTGTCAATGATCTGCTATAACAGAGTATTGATAATGTGGACGCCTGGCTATTAACAATGAGTTAAAGGAAGTTCAAGTACTTTATACGAGGGAGAGTCAGTAAACAGGACACAAACGGAAGTAAAACCAGTCGTAATGGATGTAATACATTTTCTAAATGTATCACTAGGTAGCAGCACAGTCCAGCTTCATTATAGTCTAGGTAGCAGACGCGCATGCGTATGTTCTGAAGCTAGTTTTAGTAGTCATAGTGACGACTGTACATGAGGTGTGTGTTACCGAAGAGCTAGGTTAAGTTTTGCGCTTTTTGTGGGGGCGAAAGGACTCAATGCAAATGATATTAATAAAGAAATGTTTCCTGTTTGCGGTGGGAAGTGTTCGTTGCGTCAAGCGGTTACAACTGGGTCGAGAAATTTCCACATTCATGGCAGACTTTTGGCTGATGACGAAGAGGTTGAGACGGAGGAGCGGAAGTGGCTGAGACAATAGTCAAACGACTTCTATGGTGCGGGTTTCGACTCTCTGGTAAAGCGATGGGACAAGTATATAAATGTTTGTGGAGAATAAGTCGAGAAATAATTTTTTTTTAAGTTTCGAACATCATATGTTTTATAATATTTTGTGACCTATTACTGTCTTTTCCTCCAAAAGCAGAAACAAACTGCGCTCTGCCTTTATTAAATATCTCTCTACCTTCTTCATCATTTCGTTCTGTGTCGTAATGCAGAAATATGAACATTTAGGGCTACTTGCTTCTATTTGCTTTTAAATCTATAATGGCGATTTTAATGCCACAAAGGGCGTGAATTGCTACACTGTAAATGAGAGTGGAACAGTGTAATCCGTCCCACAGTCGGCCTATGCAGAGTTTTCAACATGCGTTCTTGCACCTTGTAATTTTGAATGTTTCTAGCTCTTCCGAATATCATTAATAGGAGAACAACATTCACTTATGAAAGCAGATGCCTACTTCCATGAAATCAATTTTTCAGAAACTGGAATGGCCCTGCCATAATTTTTTAAAAGCCGATAATATCAAATTTCATTCAAATCCATCCAGACGTCCTCGGGTTGAACAACGTGGAAGGACGAACAGACAAAATCTTGCCTGAGTGTGAAGAGTGCATTGTGACTTGCTGATAATTAGGCCTGTAGACTATTATTTTTGCTGTATAATACGAAATATTCCCTCTGTGGTATTTCCACCTCATCCTGGCTGGGGGCTGTCAGCAATGAACGCTTCACAGGCTGTGCTGGCGGTAACGTAGCTACTGGTAGGATGTCCCTTGCCGACTAGGTGGAGAGGTGGGTACAAGATGAACAGGAATAAGCTGGCACTAACGCCTGGATAGTGTGAGCTGGCATCCTCCTTATATGAACAATTTCAGTGTTCAGATGGAATGAGTATGTGAGGTTGGAACAAGCCGGACTGCTGAAAGGAAAGACAAAGCGAAGGAAAAGAACTCTTGAAACAGATAGGGTACAGGTCTTAGGGAAACCCGCTGTTGTTTTATCAAACCACCAGTCACAAACTTGCCTATACGACGGGTTTTGAACCACAAAAAAAAAACTTAAAAATCGCAAGGCAATATATATATATATTTCCCATTTGACTTTTCCGGGCTTCGATGTCAAAAAGTACATTTAGGAATTATCGATTCCTAGGTTATTTAACAACACTGTACGGTATGTATTGTATTGTTGAGGGCAAATATAAAGGAGAACCTATATGTCTATTCCTGTTGCTGCTACTTGGAGCATAGGACATTCGTGGAACATTTCGTTTCACTTATGTTTCTTTATCTTGGTAGGACTCCTCGGACGAGTGATCAGCCCGTCTCAAGGCCGCTACCTACACATAAACACAGAATAAACGCAGACAGACATCCATGCCTTGAGTCGGATTTGAACTCACGAACTCAGTCTTTGAGCGAGCGAAGACAGTTCATTCCTTATACCGCGCGGCCACTGCGATCGGCATACAGGAGAATACTGGTTATTTAAAAGTCATTAAGGCGGTCGAACTAGAAATACATACAGAAAAAATGTAAATTCATTATACAAAATGCAGGATGAAGTAATGACAAGAGTCAGGCAATCGATTCTTTGTTATGTATTGAAGGACAAATGCTTCAAAATGGCAACAGTAAATACAAATTGCATTCACTAAGAAATTAACAGGGCCGGTCACAGTAGCCGAGCGGTCTAAGGCATGCACTGTCTTCGCTCGCTTGGAAATCTGCATTGTGGTTTCGAATCCCACTCAGGGCATGGATGTTTAGTTTGTGTGTGTCCGTTTTTCTGTTTTTGTGTACAGGTAGAGGCCTTGCGACGAGCTGATCACCCGCCCAAGGAG